ATGTTTTTCCTTTGTAGCAAAATTAACACATCTGTAACAATGAACCCCAGTTGTAGGCCTACATATACACATTGGAAAAGTGGGGAAATTCAGTATCATGGTTAATCATACAACTGACTAAATCTTTTTTTTTATGAAATATGTCTGCAAAGTGAATTGATTATTCTAATGAGTGAAGTCAGTAAATTTGCTGCTTTATCTGGCTTCATATTCTTATAATATTCAGTAACAGTTTATTTTACAGTGTCCTTATTACACAAGTTACATACTTTAAATTATAATAACAATAGATTATGCATAATTACATGTAAGTAACCCTAAGCATATATAAGTACATGTAGGTAATTCATATTACTCAAATGTATAATTACACAACAAGGACACCTTAAAATAAATTGTAACCCATAATATTTAGTCTCTGTAATGCTCAGCACTTAATGTGTTGGAATGGTGAATGTAGAATGCCACTAGTCAAACCCAGACATGCACCATGAGCAATTTCAGGTTTTAAGTTGAATGGGGGAACATTTGAAATAATCTATCTCTTGTGTGTAATCAAATGAAATTTGCTCTGCAGCCTATAGCATAGAGTATGTGAATTAAAATAATTAAAAATGGAAGGATAGATGGATGGATTCATTGATAGATGGCAGGTGAGTGGGTAGATAGAGTTAGCTTGTTGTAATGATGCAGGAAAACATTTAGTCAAACACAGACATGCACCATGCAGTTTGAGGTTTTACTTGACTGGGGGAACATTTTAAGTAATTAACTTTTACAAATTGTGCATAATTTGCATATTATCTCCACCTTATTCTTCAATGTGGAAGTAAGCCTATGGGCGAGACTTCCGGCTCATTAGCCGTTATGGGAAATAATGAGAAGGATAAAGTCAAACACAGACATGCACCATGTGCAGTTTGAGGTTTTACTTGACTGGGGGAACATTTTAAGTAATCTAACTTACAAATTGTGCATAATTTGCATATTATCTCCACCTTATTCTTCAGTGCGGAAGTAAGCCTATGGGCGAGACTTCCGGCTCATTAGCCGTTATGGGAAATAATGAGAAGGATAACAACATGCAGTATAAACGTTAAAACTGTTTGCACTACAAACCAATGTGTTCATAATTAAAGTAATACGGTAAGCCACGCCGATTTGCAATATCAAGCAGCAAAACAAGCTGTTTTGTACAGCTAAAAACAGTTGGATGCGGATGTGACCGGAAGCCAGACCCATAAAATTTACAAATGGCTGCGCCGCTTACGGGGGAAAATACGTTTTTTTTTTTTTTGTGCAAGAGGCTAATGCAGCTAACATATCATTAGCATAATGCTAGCATGCTCTTGTAGAAAAACTGGTACTTGCCATGGTAAAACTAGTAGCAAACATGATTAGAATTTTGTTAAGGATTGAGTAATTTTTTTTCTGTGAAACAAAAGTTAAATGTGTTCAGTAAAGTTATCATAGTTTTAGTGGCAATGACATAAATTATAAACAAAGTATGAAAAATGTCCAGAGTTTTCATGTTATTCGATTTTTAACAAAACTGTAATTTGTACCAAGGGGGCGTTTTACCCCACATGGTGCAAAACACCCCCATGGGTGGGGTAAAATGCCCCCCAGTCTGACAAAGCAATTTCCTTTAAACATTTACAGCAAAATCAGAGTACAAACAGTTTTTGCTTAAAATTAAAAAGAATATAATCAATAATAATGAATTACAAAATTATAATAGCCTATTTGAAACATTTTGTTAGCTGATGCTAACTGGCTAGCTAAATAGCTACCTGATGCTACCTTGAGGTAATTTTTAAATATAAAATCCAAATATCTGTTTTTATTCAACCAACTAGTTAGAATACATTTGTTGGAAAAACAAAGGATTTGATGTTCAGAACAGAATAACTACAGTAATTGCCCATTGCCCCCTGGGGGCGTTTTACCCCACAGACTAGGCTATGTTTGATAAAAAAAATTGTCATTCTGAAAATATAATTATATTTTGATTAAATAACACGTACTCCCTATCTACAGGCCTTACTGTTTTCATATCATATATAACTGTGATGTTCTACAAAACAACAAGCTTTAAAACACTTTTTTTTCTTACTGCTGAAAATTGGATCATTTACTGTGAAATTCGTTTTCTCTCAGGTACATCACCAGTGTAAGCTTCATAGTGAAAACTTCTACATCACTCTCGTCAATGTAGTCCATAGTTACAATAGACATTATCTTGTGGTTATTTTGGGAAAAACAGTAGGGAGCGTTTTCCCCCACTCTACCCTACATTGCAGCTTATAGCAGTGGTTCTCAAACCTCTCCATGAAGTACCCCCAGCACTGCACATTTTGTATGTCTCCCTGTATCTGACACACCCACTTCAGGTCTTGCAGTCTCCACTAATGAGCTGATGAGTTGAATCAGGTGTGATAGATGAGGGAGACATACAAAATGTGCAGGGCTGGCCTACTCCAGGACAGGTTTGAGAACCACTGGCCTACAGCATATGTATGAAAAGAATTAAACTTTTGTACTATTGCAGGGGTTCCCATTCCAGTTCCTAGAAATCTAACTCTCTGCAAAGTTCATCCCTGATCAATCACAACTAAACCAACAAGCCTACTTACGATCTTCAGGGTCCAGTTGTTCAAAAGTAATCTGATCATATTTTGGCCCTGGGATTGGATCAAATCTTGAAAATGGGTTGTTCAAAAGAAAAAAAAAGTATTCTGAAATAAGATTATATCACAAAATCCAATCTTGGTTTTGATCTGGATTCAATCCTCAATTTGTGTTGTTCAAAACGTTTTAGTAAGATTGGGATACTTTTGATAAAAAAATAAATAAATTATTCGTATCCCAGCAGAAGGGTGGATTTCAGGAACAAAAATGTAATAAAACTTTAAAACTGGTCCAAAAAATACAATATTTGTCCCCAAATCCCCAAACAGCTGTCAATATCAAACAAAAATATTTAATTTAATTTAATTTAATTAATGTTTTTTTTTAATCACTGATTATAAACTACATTGGCACAATCATCAGAGATGGACCAGTATGTTACGTTCTGTGCCGAGGCTTGTGTCGAGAAATCCCGGCGGCTTTCAGTAGGCGCGTTTCCATTACCCTTCAAATTGCGCAAATTGAAATTGCGAATTGAAAATACACCTAATGGAAACGCCGTCATTTCGCAATACTTTTTTATCGACATTTATATAATATCGCCAAAGTTTTGCGCAAATCTGTAATGGAAACGCGCCTAGTGAAGCGCGTATAGAGGCTTGTATCGCTTTAGAGCAATGACGTCATCGATGACGTTGACGTCCGAAGCCTCGCTTGGCCTGACTGGTTCAGGAAGCGGTTCAAATCTTGTAAATGCACAGTCCTCTGCCCTGTTAAATTCAGCCACTTTCCAGTTTTAGACTAATAATATTGCCCCTCCTGCCTATTATGAGCAAAGACTTGATTTACACACATTTGATAGCCCTATTCATTGCAAACCAATACGTTTATTACACAGTTATGTTATATTATGTTATACAATCATTATAAAATACACATTATATTCATATAAATAGAATAGTCTATGTGGAATTTTTTTTTTCTTTACCGTTATTTCTAAGCCTTAACTGGCGCAAAACTGTATCATAGATCACATCAGGTCATCTGTAATGTATCTGCTTGTTTTACACTCTTTGGCCACCAGGTGGTATTGTGAGCAAACGAAGCCTCGAGAAATGAACCCTTTTGTGAACCACTTGGATGAAAAGCTTCAATGCTTCATAAGGCTTCATCTCGCCATCACTATGGACCAGTGACAAGTAGTTGCAAAACATTGGCATTCCTTTTTTTCCATCACCATGTCCCTTTAGGGGCTCCGTAGATCAGATTTAGAAATCTGAAAAAGTGTGTATCTGGATCAGGGTGATCCAATCCAATTTTGCTTTACAAACCGGCACAAAAGTAAGATGGGTTACCTGATCCTGGATGGCAAAACATGGGATTTCCAAATTCTGATCCTGATTAAACTTTTTGAACAACTGGCTCCAGGAGCACTTGATAATTACAGACTGGTGTGTTTGATCAGGGTTGGAACTGAACTCTGGATTTAAGTAGATCTCCAAGAACAGGATTGGGCACCGATGTACCTGGATTCAGCATTTGTAGGGTTAGACTTCCACAACACTTCACTGCTCTCTGCTGGTCATCCTGGGAACTACTTAGACACTTGCAGATTTTGAATAGCCAGATTTATTGGACAAAAACGGCATCTAGTGTCTCCTTCAATATTTAAACCTATTCTTGTGTTGTTTTGTGAAATCAATGGTTTATTTATAATTGGCTGTATACTGATACTGTGCCATTCTAGTGGCTTAAAATCTATGCACATTCACAAAGAGATTCAGTCTCAAATTCTGGCTCATTTCTCTGAGATCGGTTGATATTTGGCCATCTGAGATGTAGATTGAGTTTGTTTCTTCACTGGAACAGATTTGGAGGAATTTGGAGAAAAAGTGGAAAGTCGACGGAAAAGTCCATCTCCTGTTTTCCTCTCGGATCAAAATCCACCAACATGTCTGTTTAGAATGGTTTTGGAATTGAAAACCAGGGGTCACTAGACTCGGTCCTGGAGGGCCGGTGTCCTGCAGAGTTTAGCTCCTATTTGCCTCAACCTGTCTGGAAGTTTCAAGTATATAGCAAGACCTTGATTAGCTGGTTCATGTGTGTTTGGAGCTAAAATCTAAAGGACACCGGCCCTCCAGGACCAAGTTTGGTGACCGCTGTTGTAAACAGTGCTTGATCTGTGCATATTTCTCTCCTCCTGATTCAGACAAAACTATACTTTTTTACTGCAGGAAGCATATTTAGACCAGAAGCAATGGTTTAAAGTTAAAATGCCTTAATGATGGATTTGTTTATTACAGCCACACAGATTTTCACTTTACAAGACATTAATTGATGGACTAGAGTAGTGTGGTTTCCTTGTGAATTATTGTGATGTTTTTTTTCAGCTAACCTATTTGAACTCTCATTCTGACGGCACCCATTCACACAGACGATCCATTGGTGAGATGCAATGCTAAATATTTCCAAGTCTGTTCAGATGAAGAAACAAACTCATCTACGTCTTGGATGGCCTGATGGGTGAATACATATTTTTAGCAAGTTTTAATTTTGAGGTGAACTAGTCTATTCCTTTTGGATAACATTTTACACAGGGGTCCTTGCTCCATCTCTTTATCCACCGAAAGGTCTATGGTCTGAAAAAGGAGCCCATTCTAGACAGTAATATGTGTAATGAGTGTATGTCAGTTATTGATTAGTCCGGGGGAAGGTGGTTAAGCTGTTCGTTATCATGTTATATTTCAGAAGATGAGGAGTCCAAACCTATTGGATTGCAGGGGAACATCTGTCACACTCTCCCTATAGTGGACATAGGCGTTTTCTAATTCAATAAATTCATAACCAAAAGAAATCATGCGACATATATTAAACTAAGGAATAACATCGACAAATCGTAATCCTATTCCCCAAAGCAGCTGAGCCAATGTCCCAGCGCGAGCGCGAGCCTCTCTCTATGCGCGTTCAAAATAAGAGCAGCTTCGGCTCCGCTCGGCTTTTTTCGTCTTCATCAGTATTCTTACCGTGTCCTCTTGAGTTGAAACGATTCTCAGGGACGGAGCCGCAAAGGAGGAGGGCAAGACTCCCGCATCATCGCGCCCGCTCTTTCCCTCATCAGCACCGCGGTCTATCGAGAGCCTCTGCGTTTGAACTGTGGTCACTTTTAGCATGTGTCGACTCTATATTGTGCCCGCTGTTTTGTGAACAGTGCGCGTTTGGTGGATGTGGTCGCGTGGATAAGCAGAAGACGATGATTTTGTCGGGTCTCCTCTTCCCCGCGTTATGGGGACTGGCGCTCGGCGGATCTCCAAGCGTCCAAATCGGTGAGCGCACTTCACCTGTCTACGCCTTTAGATCACAGGCATCTCGACTTGATACGTCTGACAACCGAAATTACATGATAAACGTTTTCTTTATATGTGTGCCATATGTGAGATTTTCGTGATAAAGCTATATAATATGTCTATTTTTGGAGTATTGAGACGTGATTCGTCTTATAATTGAATTATGAATCATTTGAATGTGTTCTTTTCTCAGGTGGCCTGTTCCCCAGAGGAGCAGATCAAGAGTACAGCGCGTTTCGGATCGGAATGGTTCAGTTCGGCACGACCGAATTCCGCCTCACTCCTCACATTGATAACCTGGAGGTGGCTAACAGTTTCGCCATAACAAATTGCTGTAAGTCAACATGGCCTTTTTACCACTTGAACAATTTTTTCCCCCATGAATTCTAATCTGGGTGTTGATATGAATTGGCTTACCGACGCACAGGTGTGATCATATATAAGGCAGCTAGTTTCCCCTCACTATTCATTCATCCTCCAGTCATGCCGTGTTAAATATTACAGAAGCCTTTATGGCAGCTTCTGTGCGTTATTCGTATTCGAGTTAACGCAGAATAGCTATCGCCTGCATACATGTGTTCTATTATTAACGCTGGTGTGTTATCCACTCGTTTACGCAACGCTTTAAAGGACCGGGGGCTGGTTGTTGGCAAACAATCGGTTTATCATTCAAGCAGTTTGGTTTTAATCAGTCTGAACTGTGGCACATTTTAGTTCTGGCTGTCTAGATGTGCAAACTATGCCTTGGGAAGATATATAAACCAGGTTTATTTATGGTTAACAACATGCGTATGGTTATATGTGGTTATATAAACCAGTTTTTGGGGGATGTGATAATTGGCATTCGCGGGAGCAGCATGATGATGGTTTCCACAGTAACGGAGGAGAGGAGATGGCCCCGTTTTACCAGCATCTGCACAATTAGATGGCAAATTAAACAGGTTGCCTCCCTCGAAAGTATCTAAGTGCCTTTTGTCGTTGTCGATTGTTTTACGATCGAATTTCTTTATTTTATTCTGCGATATATATAATTTAAGGGTTTGTGACAAGCGAGGCACGAGAGGGCGTAAAAGTGGACCTCGCGCGCGTCCCTCCCCCACGCATCTTACATCTGAAGCATGAAGACCAGTATTGAAGGATGAAACGCTTTACGATTCAAAAATGCGATTAATTATTATTAGTCAGCCTATAAAGATTTTTCATAATTGTTGGCCTTACACGACATCCAGACTCATTCTATCTAGTCAGATCTGTTCAATGGTTCTGTTAAACGGATTCACAAAACCGGCCTGAAGGATTCATTCACGAATCAGACTGAACGATTCGTTCACGAATGGGACTGAATCGGTCCGAGCAGTTCCGAGTCAACAACTCATTGATTCACTGAACTGAGAACGGTCTCTTTCCAACATGTCTGATTTGTAATGAGCAAATGAGAACCAGTGAGTGAATTGATACCGGTAGGCCTATTTGATGGGATGAAAAGTTACTTGTTTGGCCGAATTGCAAAAAATGTTATGAATAAAACGTCTTGGAGATTTTAAAGTATAGCCTAGTTAATAATGTAAATGTATATATATATATATGCATTTATGCATTTATGAGTTGAATCATGTTTGCAACAGACTGAACTTGGGTAAAACATAGTGTATGTGCTACATAAATACAATTAAAGAATGTTTTAGAGCATTTATAATATGTCACACTAGAATGTCAGGAAAAAAAGATTTACAATTTGTGCATGACACAAATGAACAATTGAATAATTTTTTTAAATACTTCTTTGAAACAAACTGTTCTCAAACAGTCAAAAAAATGAGTCAGATCGTCCATCATATGTATACAAATGCATTTATGTTTAATATAAATTCATAAAATTGCATCTATGTTTTTATGAGCTGAATTATGCTTGCAAGAGGCTGAATTGAAAAAAAAAAAGTAAAACAGCAATATGTATGTGCTACATACTCTTAAAAATGTTTAGGTGCAATTATAATATGTCATGTGGGAATGTCAGAAACCATGCTATGATGTCATGATGCAAATGAATAATTGATTCATTTTTTTAAACTACTGCTTTGAAACAAACTTCACAAGAAACGATTCAAATAAGTCAAATCACTACTTCTTTAGTAGAATCTAGTATTTAGTAGAATCTAACTTGCAGGCTTTTGATGAATGATAATATTGTATTGCATATCTGTAGATATGTTCAATTTTGTTTTGTTTAACAATTGCATATTTTAAGCACACAATTGCACATCATTTCTAAATAGAAATGCAATGCAAATGCATGACAGTTTTAACATTTTACACTAGCAAGGAAACACATTGCTTGATTGAGGTCCCTGAAGAGGCGCGCAAACCTGAATGGGCCGTGGAGACACCTGGCTTGGCCTTGTTAGTTTTCACCCAATCCATTAACCTGAATGAGTTGTTTCTCGGTGTGCATGATGCTTTGCGATGTGAGCTTCACTGCGACAAGTCTGTGTCTCAACAGCCTGAACTGCCGCTGATTCATGCGAATAGCCTGCCCACCCCCACATTCCTGTCCCACAGATACATACATCATGAACTGAAAATCTCAATGATACTTCAGGGTACACATACATAATATTTTGAAAATTGCTTGGGCATTTGATTGTGAGGAGGTGTGTGGAATGGGGGCCTGTGCTTACTGCTTTTCACCTGCAAATATAGAACATAATGTAGTCACTGCACCTGGAAGATGAGTAGGCCTATTATTTTGTCTTGCTATATGCAAACCTATGCCTAGACCTACATAATGGTGTATGTTTAATGCACACAAGGGATTTCCTTTGCTGTTGAATTTACCGACATGCAGATAAGGGGTGTTTCTTTTGAGGAGGCAAGGGAGGCAGTGCCTCTTTAAAAAATGGGATGGGAAAATAATTCATAGAGCAAAAATAAAGCAAAGAAAATATTACAAAAAATTGACATTAAAAGGTAAAAAGTGACACTATCTAAAAGCAACAAAAGTGTGTAAAGCTACAGTGGGAGACTCTGTCTCTCTTGCCACCCTTGAGCCCGCTGATTATTAAAAAAAACCTTAAAGCTTGAGGTGGGTAATTGAGAATGAATGGGGGAAGTCATGTGAGATGAGGCATCGTGCTATGATTGGCTATGATTAGATAGATATGATTGGATATGATATGATTTGGTTCATGTGATAAATCCCACCTCTGGTGGACGTTTTCGTGCACGTTAAATGAAAAATGCTTAAAACCACTAAATTGATGAGACCTATGCTAATTAATTCTAATAATTAGAACATTAATTACATTGCTAATGTAAAAATACAAAATCGAATTGTATTTGTGACGCTGGACCACAAAACCAGTCATAAGTCGCTGAGGGGTATATTTGTAGCAATAGCCAACAATACATTGTATGAGTCAAAATTATAATTTTTTCTTTTATGTCAAAAATCATTAAGATATTAAGTAAAGATCATGTTCCATGAAGATATTTTGTAAAATTCCTACCATAAATATATCAAAACTTATGAGAGTGAGAAACTCTATATTTGTACTAGGGATGCACCGATACCACTTTTTCCAGTACTCGCCCGATACGATACTTTTATTTTTGGTACTTGCCGATACCGAGTACCGATACCAATATTTTCATTGCATTTGTAAATTTTTAATACGAGTACAGGAGCTCAGTATCGGGCCCTAATTTGTACAGTGTACGCATGTAAAAAAAAAATATATAATAATTCCGATTTGAAGCTTGTGACATATAAATGCACACATCAACCCGATCACTTTATTTAGCGTTCATGTAAACACTATATTCAGATTCGACAATCGGAATGAATTCAGTCCAATTTAACCAAAAATTGTGCATGTAAACGTAACCATTGATGCAGATATATACATGGCATTGAGCAGGATTTTGTGGATGATAATTAAGCATTATGATAAGAATTTCTTTGCCAGAAAAGCCAACTGTTTAGACAGTTTATGGTCTGCCATAGCGAAAAACAAATTAATGTTGTAACATACAAACTCTGTTATCACTTGTTTTAGCCTTGAGGTGATTGAAGTGACTCATCGGAGACCCATCCAAGTCTATTGACAGATACTATGTGCCTTTGAAAGGTTTCAGCATTGTTGTGGCTGTTACATGTTGTATCAGAACAGTTATGTTCTTTAGTGTACAGCAGACTCTGTTATTCTGTTCAAATATATTCAAAAGCATGTTTGTTTTTGGATAGTCCCGTTTGCTTATTACTTGATGGTATTAGAGTTTGTGTTCCTGGAACACAGCAGCTTTTCTTCAGTAGTCAGACTGAATAACACATTAATGTTAACACTGAGCATACTATGCCTCCAGCTTGCGTCACTATACAACAACAACCCATTGTGACGCACCAACAACTGGAACACACACCACGGCTCTGTGGATTTCTTGATTTTAGTTGATTAATCGCAGCATTATTGTGATCAGTTTTTTGTTCAAAGATAAATCTGTCTGTTATACCAGGCAACTAAATGAATTTCTTGTTTCTTTATAACATTATAATATATACATTTTCAAATCAAAATAAATATTTCAAGGGTATTTATATATTAACAGAATAATGTACAATCAGACAGCTATTATTGAAAAATAATCCATTTCATGATGATACAAGACCATTCAATAATGACAGGCTAACTGCACATTACTGCTTTTGTGTGTTTGTAAATTTTTCAGTATTCTATTTGTTAAAGAATCCTGAAAAAATGTATCACTGTTTCCATAAAATATTAAGCAGCTATTTTTTAGCTATTTTTTTTAGCTATTTTAACCATTTTCAATGTTGATAATTATAAGAAATATTTCTTGAGCACTAAATCAGCATATAAGAATGATTTCTGTAGGATCATTTGACACTAAAGACTGTAACATAAGTCTTAACATAACAGCCTTGGTGAGTATAAGAGTCTTTCAAAAGCATTAAAAAATGTTGCTGACCCCAAACTTTTGAGCAGAATTTAATTTTCCCAATGACGATTTTCCCATTCCCGTTTAGTTTTTACTTATTGATGTCACAGACCCAATTTATACTGTGAAAAATAACCATTTTATAAATATATGTAAAATATTATAAGGACCATTTTTAGTTTCTATTCAATTTACATTGTATCTATAAAATATATATACATAAAACACACCTAAATGGCAGTTTCTGCTGGCACATATATAATGTGATCAGCATTAATAAAGTGATCTCTCTGGCACTTCTGCTAAATCTAAATCTGTCTCTCTCACATACACAACCACCAGCATGTTGAAGGCAGTATGATGATGTGTTATATGTGTGTGTGCTATATTAAAGATATTCACATCAGCGCGTCCAGAAGGGGGTGTGGAGGATTGAGTGCTGAAGACAGGATGAAAAACGAGTGACTGAGCATTTTCTCTCCTTTACTGACAGTCCCTCAATCTCAACAATCTGCAATCACCTTGAGGAACAGAAAGAGAGGTGGGGGGTGGGGTGGGGGTCAAGTAAAGCAGGGGTTTATTTAAAGGCATTAGTTAATCAGGAGAACACAGTCAACAGTTGAATGAGGAATGTGAATGTGATGTGATGATTTGGTGCTCTGCAGGGAAAAGGGCTGTTTTAAAGTCGTTAATGTATGCCTGCAAGGATAACCTGATCATTACAGAGGAAACATGTTTTTGAAGGTTAAAGATGATTACGTGTTGTCAGAAGCCGGATGAGGCCATCAATCAGTCAAAAGTGAGATGATAAGAAAGTAGCGGGGGATATGACATGTTGTTATTAAGAGGTGAGCTTGTTATTAAGGGGTGTGCAAGAAGATAGTTGTTCATGGGTACAATGTCCCAACTTGGCACATTCATATATAATTCAATTGATGTGCTGTCACATGCATGTATTGCCACATTGTAATGAATAATCATGTTTTGGTTAGCATCCATGAAAAATAAAATAAAAAAAGGATAGAATCAGAATAAATATTGTTATTTGTATTTTTAAAGTATTTTTCTGTCTGGATTATCTGGAAAAAAGGCATTACAAAATTTCTTCATTAGATTTCAAGCTAAAATATATCTATTTAATCAATATCACAGAAGAAAGAGTATCAAGTCACGTTTCCATACATAGCACTTTATACAATATAGATTGTCTCAAAACAGCTTCACAGTAATAAAAAATAACAGTATTATTGTTGCAAAGTTCTTCAAGAATCAGTGAAAAATAAAATAAAAAAAGGATAGAATCAGAATAAATATTGTTATTTGTATTTTTTAAGTATTTTTCTGTCTGGATTATCTGGAAAAAAGGCATTACAAAATTTCTTCATTAGATTTCAAGCTAAAATATATCTATTTAATCAATATCACAGAAGAAAGAGTATCAAGTCACGTTTCCATACATAGCACTTTATACAATATAGATTGTCTCAAAACAGCTTCACAGTAATAAAAAATAACAGTATTATTGTTGCAAAGTTCTTCAAGAATCAAATACATTTTCAGCTGTAAAGCAGCCCTAAAAAGATAATAGTGTCATTATTCAGCTCAGGTTAGTTCATTGTTAAATTTAGTTAACAGCATGAATGTTGCAAAGTTGACTACTATATATTTTCACTAAGTGAACTCAGCTATAAAGTCAGTTCAGTGTTTATGCAGTTTAGTTCAATAATAGTACATTGATAGCACAAGTTTATTAAATTATGAAATGACGTTACTGATGATGTACTATTTGACCACAGGATGAAGTTTCGTGCCCTTCAAGTAGAAGTCATGTAGAAGTGGGAAACTTAGAATTCTTGGTGATACGCATGTTGATTTCAAATTTGATAGAGAGAAATATAGAGATACAGTATCAGTGAGCGGAAAGCAGTTCTGTAGCTGAAAGGACAAGCACACAGAATATAGGAATGCTCTGCCTTGTAAATTTTCCTGAATCACAGATGAAGCGAAGCGA